ATAGTTTGATCAAGCTCTCGTGTCTAATACGTGTACATGTGTTCTAAACTGGAAGACTCTGGCGCAGTATTGAAGCTTCTCGGCGAAGTGGAGAAGAAAATGCGTCAAGGTGATCATATGACAATTCCGATCGTGCGGTATGGATTGGGAAACCTTATGCCTGGACATTGTTCGTTCGCGGATTGGAGTCAGAGGCAGCACAAAGAAAATCTATAAATCAGTATAAACCGTTTCTGGTTGTCGTGTCTTCACTGAATGTGGATGCACGATTCCAGAATCTGAAATAAAATGGCGTTAAAAAGAAATACAGGATGGAAAGGGTGGTTGCGGGTGGGAATAGAAAGAAATACAGGATGAGGGATAGTGAACATCCTCGTTCTTAAATATACACAACTTAGAAAAGTTGTGTATGTTCAAGGACTGGAGTAGGATAGTGCCACAGCATGAAATAAGTTAGTGCTGTTGCGTCATAACAGTAGTTATGACGTTACAGTGTAAATTCTTATGATGTTGCTCTAATCTACTCCCAGTCCCAAATTACTATTGAAAGGAGAATCCTTCTATAATAGTATTTGCTTCGATCACTACTGGAAGTCCACGCCGTTTACATCGAAGGCTCTCCTTTCAAACATGCATTGAAACGGCGGTCGGCATCATTGGGGGTCGTTACTGAGTGGTAGGACGACAGCGAGGTCTGATCGATGTTCATGATAGCGCTTATGATGTTGTCCGCTAGATGCCGACTGAATAAACTTTGGGCTAGCCCCCTGCGGGAGGCATGCCTTGGGCGTATTGATCTGCTACTGTGCGTGCTAAACCTGCACGCACAAACTGTCCTCGCACTGGTGCGATGCTCTCCGAGTTGTCCAAGGCGTTAAGGACCATAGCTGGGCTTGGTGGGACACTACAGGTGTCCACAGCATCGGTTAAGTGTGCGTGGAGGAAGTAGATGGTCAGCTGGTCGGCCGGACGGAAAATGACCTTGGACTTATGGAAACGTTCCCCCCTCTTCTTCTTTTTGATGTTCGCAATCAGCACGCGGTTGGCTGGCTCGAAGATGAAGGAGTCTGGACCTAGTGTCTTGTTGGTGGCCCGTCATTCCCGAGCCAGAACGGGACATGTAGTACACGCCAACGTGTATCCACATCATCTGCTTGCAGTAGCTGCAGGATACAAAGGGCGATGATCTTGGGTTGGTCCGGATCGCGCGTGCCGTACAGCTCATTCCATAGTCGCACATACCCCTAGATAGCGTGGCGCCAGGCAGGTGGAAGTATCTCGGTGAGACCATTGAATCGGTAATAGTTGCTGGCTGCCGCACGGATCTTCTCCACTTGGTCGAGGGACACTTCCTGACGGTAACAGTAGAAGAGAAAGGACCTAAGCTGGTCGAGCAAAGGCACGCCAGTAAGTCAGAGCAAAGACGTAGTTGCGCTGCGTGCCGAAGGCTATTCCACCATTGTGAAGTAGCCCCCATATACGTGACGAGGGAGTCTTGGTACTCAACCGTTGCCGAAGAGATTGTAGAGAACTGTAGCATAGAATCTTGTTGGAGGTACCGCCATGCTCAGCACTTTTGCGACCGATGCTGGGTAGTAGACGACGCTAGCCTCCAGGATCTCTATGTTCTTACTTTTCCGTACTATGAGAGGCCACCAAATAGCTTTGGTTCACACTGGTACTATGATGACCACCCGCTGTAGGCGGCGGCCGAGATGTTTCAGGATAGGCCCTAACACCGTCTCAGGGGGGGGTATAATTCTGGCACTGGTCCCACATGTCGTAAAAGAGGTTCGCAAAGGTCAAGTGGCCCTGGTGACTTCTCCCCAAGTAGTAATTTTCGGGATACGATCGCTCCGAGGGGTTCGGAGAGATCAATCTTCTACTTGCTGAAGAGTCGAAGCACCGTCTCGGACCGGACTGTCCAGTGGTACTGGAGGAGCCTCCCCAATCTTGAAAGGTCGTCCATGGCGAGGTTGAGCATTCCTGGTAGGTGTCCCAGGGATATTGGCCACAGGACATTGTTCTGGCGACAGAACCAACCCAGACGCCTTTACTGCGGGTTTATTCGTTTGGACTGGCTGCGGCGCTTCCTCAGCGCGTGTAACTAAGTACTGCAGCCGGTGAGCCAAAACAGAGGAATTGAGCCTACGTTCTGCGTTTTGTGATAAATCGAAAGCTAAAACGAGAGCCTTTAACTCAAGGACTGCGATGGGCCACCTCTGTACCGTACGGCACCAGAGACCCGCGAAACTTGTCGTGGTCTTCTACCAGTACAGTGTCGCTCTGCACCCTATCTTTGAGGAGTCCGAGGTTAGTGCTGCTCTATGTAACGGCAGCCAAATAGATCGCGACAGGAAGATGGTCATCAGTTGGCTGATTCGTTCTATCTAAACGTGGCCCCCGAGAGCCAATGTGGCGGGTCCTCGTCCATGAGGTCGATTGCTGAACGTCGGCGATGAATGGACATAGTCCCAAGATTGAGAATCCTCCCCACAGTAGGCAGCCGCAAAAAGATTGCCACAGTTGTGTTTGACCCTACGCTGGTTGCGTAGGCCCAGGGAGGAGATCAGCTTGGATTTCTGGAGTAGTTTGGCTTTGAACTCCGGAGTCATTTCGATGATGTTGAGCACCAGTTCTCCCAAGTGCTGTAATCGCGTCACTGGTAACTCCCAGTAGCCTTTGCCGGGAGCCAACTCTAATCCCAGTTCGTTCAGAAACTGTCGATGTATCACTTCTGCTTCATGATGGTGCGTGGGCGACCTTATAGCAGGAGGTCGTCTACGTACAGTATTATTCGGATCCCTCTTCCTCTCGTTAATCGGCGAAACACACCCATCAGGAGGTGGAACTATGCTGATGAGAATGCGGCCCCCATGAGGAGGGCCAGGAAGCACTAACGTTGGCCCTGGTGATCCCGAAACTGCCATAGTTTGGGATTGGCCACAGCCAACTGTCGGGAGCACTTGCCGTCCGGCTTGAGGGTCGTAAATGCTGAGTGGACCAGGTATTACTCCTGTTCCTCGCAGCGGCGAATGACCCCTGAGTCCTTCAGCCTCTCTAGCTCCGTGGCCGTCATTTCTTCGGTCACGTCCGTGTTGTTGATCCAGCGATCCCTGTTGAATGGCTTGGGGGACCCCAGGCCGGACACACCCCGTACTTGATGGCCTGCAGGACCTCCTAAGAGGCCCCGTAAGTTTGCCATGTTGGTTGTGCTTTCCAACCTCTGAGATATAGTGGTGTCTTAGGTGGTTTATTCTTCTTTAATATTGTACTTTCCTTTGGTGAGAGTCAGTTCGTGTTATTTCTTCTTTGTTGCCTTGACAAATTTGGAGACGGTGGCAGAGTTGTTGTAGGTCGGACGGACCTGCTGTTCCACTAGGGCGGCAAATGCAGAGCTCTCCTTCAAACGTAGTTACTTAAGTTGCACGGTATGTTCGAGGTCTTCGATCAGCTCGCAGATCACTCCACGATAGGCTTGCTCTCGGTGGTTGCAAGCGGAAAGACCACCGAGATCGATCTGTTTTAATGAGTAGGCTAGATAGTTTAGCCAGGTTAAGATATTAACAAGTTCCTTTACGACCACTGGTTTCTGAGTGCTGGACCAGGAGGGGCAGCTTATAAGAGATCGAGAGAGTCCTTCCGGGAATTCAACGTCCTGTATACCAATGAGGTTTGCTATCTCCTTTGGTTATCCAGAACTCCACTCGCCGATGGCTTCGGCAACGCAGGGTTGTACTGTTGCTAGGTGTTGAGCAGTGGAGACTCCGGTGATGTGAGTCCGGAGTCCGTAGAGAGAGTCGTTACCAGTACCAAAGGAGTCCTCGATTTCAGTACGGATCTGTAAGGCCCTCAGTCGGGCACGATAGAGTTCGTGTAATTGACGTAGTTTTGCTTGTTGTTCGTCGACGTTCATCGCGATTGCAATGGCAGAGGTAGTATGATTGGATGGATAGCCTCGCTACGACATAGGTTGAAGGAAGTATTTTTATCAATAGAAAGAGATACAGGATGAGGAAATAGTGAACACTATCCTCGTCTCCTTGAATATACACAACAACTTATAAAAGTTGAGTGTATTCAAGGACTGGAGTAGGATAGTGCCACAGCATAAAATAATTTAGTGCTATTGCATCATAGAAGTAGTTATGATGCAACAGTACAAAATTATATGATGTTGCTCTAATCTACTCCCAGTCCCACAATACTATTGGAAGGAGAATCATTATATAT